AGAGCTAAAGGCAAAGCTTCTCTCATCTTTGCTTAGATAAGCGCTCGCAAACCTCAAATGTTTCTGTCGCCTGTCTTGGGTTGCGCATCAACAAAATGAAACCAAAATAAACAATCTAGAGTTTTTTGAGCAGGTGTTTTTCAAGAGTTTAGGCTGATGAAATACGTCGAATAAGGTTTCATCAGGCGTTTTTGTAGTCGATTCCATGAAGACATCGACTGATGTTTTTACAAAAGATTAGCTACTGATTAGTTAGGTGGATGACATCTCCTTTGGAACACAATAATGGAGAAAATTAAGAAAAACAAAGGAATAAAAATGAATGATGAGAAAAAAAGTAATAATAAATAGAAATCACTGTAAATTGTTTATAGCTTTTCGACAACAAATTATCTGTCAATTTATCATAATTTATTTTCTTGCAGCTGAAGGAAAGAAGAAGCTCTTTCATGAAATCAAGAAATTAACAAAAAATGATTTGCACAAATTTCAAAAAGCAATGCGCAAAAAGTTGCCAAACATAAACGAAAGCGATAGGAAAGAAAACACAATAAAAGAACAGGAAGAATAAACATAAATTTTTGATATTTTGTTGCTTTCCACAATTTAATTTACGTAATTGATAAGAATTAAAAACAGAAAGAGAAAAAAACGCACTAAATAGGCCACATTTAAATTTAGATAAGAGCAAATGGCCATGTGTATGTGTGTGTGTGTGTGTGTGTGTGTGTGTGTGTGTGTGTGTGTGTGTGTGTATGTGCGTCAAGTGGGCAGTGAAACGTGTGTGCAACTGGGCGTGGCAGCGCAGATGACGTGTTTGCAGCTGTGGGGGGTGCTTGTGAATTTCGGTGGGCTTTCGGCCAAAATATTCACTCAGCGGCGAGACACAATAATAAAACGAGAATTTAACAATCGCAAAATCATTCGCTGAGAAACTGAGAAATGACGTCCGAGAATCGATGATAAATGAGATTGAAGACGGCGGCTGCACCGGAACCAACTAAAAAACAAATACATAGAATGGAATAGGATAGAATAGAATAGAAATTTAGTACAAAATAAAAATGAAAGCTTCTCTAAATATTTCAAAGTAGTATTTATTTGTTTATCAACGTTTGCGTATGTATATATTGCGTTCTAGATAAATAGTTAATGCCAGCAGCCAGCTAAAAGGCGGAAGAATATACGAGAATGTCTAGAAAGAAATTGGGTCACAACAAAATACTATACAGTATATACATACATGAGTAGTGCGTGTGATTGGCAAGTGGATTTATAAGGCATGCGATAAGAATGATTGATTGCCTCTCAGTCTTGTTGTATCTGTAGAAAGTAAAGTAAAGATGGTAGGAACTCAATATTTTTGCAACACTTGTGAGAGTTATTAGAAAGATCGTTGAGGGATTTATCTTTTCAGAATGACATGCATAAATGTAGCGAAATAATGATAATATAAATCAAAAGATTAGATTTTATTATTTAAATACTACTATTAGACATTCCTAGCTTTTCGTTTTCTTCTCTTCAATAGTTCCATGATCAAGTCATGTTTGTTTGTAGAGCCCTATCCAATTATTTGCATATATATATATATGCCTATTCAATTACTTGGAGTAGTTTGTTCGGTCTGTTCGTTTATTTATTTGATTATGCGCTCAACAACACCACGACGACACTCAGTCGCCAAAGGCCAATTACCTCTGACGCTCAAAGGTCCAATGCCTATGAGCATTAGATTTATTATTGTATGGACATCCAAGCAAACCCCTTCAACGGTCTCAAACCAGCCGCCCACTTTGCGTCACTCCCCACTGAACTCTACTGATTATGAGTTGCATTTGCGAGCTGCAGTTGGCGATTGGGTGGGCCAGCGATCTGTCAGTTGTTCCGCCTCCACCGCCTCCTCTCTCTCTGTCTCTGTCTCTGTCACGCTCGCTCTGCACTTCTTCCTTAAACGCATTTAAGTGGCCAGACAGAGTCGTAGGTCCCATGATATCTATAAATAGAATATTGAACGCACAAACGATTCGTGTGCCTGGTTTATGACAGCAATTAAAGAGAACCAGAAAGCGAAACCATATTGATCACGCCGCATTTGAAATACCCTAAAAGTCAATAATCGTAAAGATATACCCTTAAGCCTAAACTATTGGGACCAGAAAATTGAGTTTAAAAAATATATATAAAAAATTCAAGACAACTTAAAAAAATATATTTTTAATAAATAATAAAAAAATCAATTTATTTATCTATAAAAATAAAAGAACAAATGTTTACAAAAGAAATCTTATTAAAATAAATAAAAGCTGTTAGGAATGAGTTCGATAGCTAAAAAAATAACAATCGATTTGTTTTCGATCTTAGATAAATATATGCAATCTTTATAACAGTATTCTCAAACTTGTTGCACACCAGGTACAAATATTAGTGTATCCTACCTACAAGGGTATTAAGTGCAAAAATGCGTTGAGTATGTCTGCTGCTCATGATCATTATGATCACAATGAAGATTATTATTGTCATGAGCATTGTCAGGCCAGGCATCGATTGCCGCCTGTGGTCTTTACTCTGCTCTTCCACTTTTCGCCTTTCCCCTTTCGTCCGCTCGCTGAATTCAGTTTTCACATTAAACTTTTGATATGTATGCCCAGGTTTTCGATTTTTTACATATTTTATTTTTTATTATTATAATTTTTTCTTTTTACTCGCGACTTGTTTACGACACGCGATTTGCTTTCTACGCAGTTGCGCTAAAATTTTGTACTCGCCATGGCGATCCATCTATATATGCATATATTGTATTATTATTTTTCTATACACACTTGTTTATTTATAAACATTTATGCATTGATAAAAAACTTGAATATGTGTATGTAGGAATATACACAAATATGGCAACTGGTCGCCGATAAATGTGCGCAAATATTGATTGTGCGAGCCCAAAACCTAATGGTCATTATTTATGTACATATTCCTCTCATTTTCTTTCGGATTGCTGTAGCTGTGACGCGACTTGATGAGCACTTGTTGCTTTATTTGATTAACATTCTGTTGAATCTGCATTTAACGCCAGTCTACGAAATCGAAGGCTGCTCAACAAAAATCTATGCAAAGAATTAAAATGTCACGCTTTTCAATTTATAAGATGGATAGCAGCAGCCGCAGTCGTAGCACCACAAAAAGATTCAAAAAGTTTCACCAAGACTCATCGAGGCTTATTTAATGAATTAATAATTATGTATATATGAATGAGCTATGTTTGCATATGTAATTTTTTTAGAATTTTATGACAGTCTGTGGTGACATTTAATTCCTAATTTCTGCTTCAAGTTAAGACCCTATCATATCTCCGTGTATGTAAATATAAATGATAAATAATAAATCTGTCTATTTTATGTTCTCATATACAAATGGCTTTGAAATTTCCCTTTTAAATAGCTAAGCTTCTTTTTCATTTGACTATATTAAGCCGTAGTCATACAGTCATAGTCTTGATTTATGACACCTGATCAATATATATTATATATATTATAAATCTTTCTTTATAATGCATAATTGTACTCGTCTTTTTATTCTAAATCTATAAAAGGGTATTTAATCATTATTTGCAAACTATGCAATACTTGGCTACGCTCTTTATAAAGCGACCTGTTGAGTAGGAAACCCCTTTTAAGAGGTGACTCAAACCGATACGAGCAACGAGCGCTCGACAGGTTTACACGTTATTCCTGATTATTATAAGAAATTAATCTTGTGATATTTCAAATAAATTATATGTATATGTTATTTCTGGTAAACCGCTTTGATTCCAAATTTAAATTTAATTTTATTAATATA